CACTCCTCCCTCCTCCTTCAATCCCCTCACTCCTCCCTCCTCCTTCAATCCCCACACTCCTCCCTCCTCCTCCTTCAATCCCCACACTCCTGGTCTTCCTTCAATCCCCACACTCCTCCCTCCTCAGTCCCCACACTCCTCCCTCCTCCTCCTTCAGTCCCCACACTCCTCCCTCCTCCTCCTTTGGTCCCCTCACTCCTCCCTCCTCCTAACCCCTCACTCCTCCCTCCTCCTCCTTCAGTCCCCACACTCCTCCCTCCTCGGTCCCCACACTCCTCCCCCCTCCTCCTTCGGTCCCCACACTCCTGCCTTCCTCCCATCCTTCCTGACACCCTTCCCCAGGTAACCCCGTATCCGCCCTCAGGATGGCATCCAACAGGGCCTGGCTCCCAGATTCAGGCCTGGACACAGGGCTTCAGAGGAGGCGCTCTTGCCAGTAACCCCGCGACGGCTACTATTGATGGTCAGAGGCCTTCTCTGTATCCACAGAAGTGACAGAGGGTCCAGAAGAGGGATGTCCGTCTTTCTGAGGGTTTTTGTTCTTTTTCTCTGGCAAGCAGGCAGGAGGCCTTCTGCTACCTTTGCATCCAGGTCAAAAAGCACCGGGAACTACTTACCTAATAAACGTTATTTCTTCTGTGATAGAAAAAAATGAAGGAACCAAAGTGGTGTCCCAGAGAGTGGGAAGGGTCTCTTAAAGCAGCTGGTGTTGCCCCTGTCCCTGGGAAGCAGGAGAGCTGCCAGGAAGTAGTGCTCCCTCAGCCTCGGGGGCCAGGACCCGCCTCTGTATGGAAGCTTCTAGCAAATCCACCGGCTGGGGAGGACAAGCAGCACTTAGGCTTGGTTCCGCAGGAGCACCCTTCCCTTTTCTCAGGACCCTAAAGGCAGTGTTTGCATAGGACTATTTCCTAATTTATACAAAAGTGACATTAGTTTTTTTTTTTTAAGTATTTGCATGGAATGTACAAAGGAGCTTTCTGAGTGGTTGCATGATCACATTTTCATGAGCATTACCTTCTGTTTGGTGTTTCCAGGTTCACAGTATGTGCCTAGGTCGTTTCAGAGGACAACTCTGACCTTAAGGAAGAGATTGCAAGTGATATCTTGAAACCGTTTCACCAGAACCGTCGGAGCACCAGTGGCTCCGCACAGCACTCTTCACTTGAAAGATGGAAGAACAAGGGTTATACTTATCTGTGCGTCTGACCGTGTGGGATGTTAGACGAAGAGAAATGCAAACAAATAAGTCCCTGGTAAAGAGGAAGAAAGTCAAACTCACCAAGCTGTTTTACTGGAAGCATCTCCAAGGCTCCGTAGGCTTCGCTCAGAAGACCTTTATGTGTTTACCATCCGTCACTTTATCAATGACACACAAACATAAGCAGGGCGTGCATGCACTCACACACTAACTATGTATAAGACTATGGTATCTAGGAATATGCCATTTGCAACTTTGTACCCTGAGGCATTTTCTAGTCTCATTCTATTAGTGATTCTATCAAAAGCCTAGACACGAACAGATGCTACTGTTTGAGACAGTGTGCCGGTCTGAATAAGGCGGTCCTCGTCATGCTGACTTTCTCATGCATCTGTAAAAAGTGCTTCAGCCATGAACCTCTTGGAGAAATGTCAGTGGCTAAATCTCCCAAACTAATTTTCTTTTTCTAGTTTTCATCTTCCAATTCAGACAGTTCACGTGAAGCACCCCCCAGGGTTGAATGTAAACGTAATTAAAAGCCCTGGAAGGTGTTTGCAGTCGAAGCTCCCCCGTGGGAGGGGAGCCTGGCACCCCCCATGTGCCATCGCGAGCTGGCCTTTGCTCAGTCACCCCCCTCAGTGATGCCGTCCCAGAGCCCTCGTCTCTTCACGCTCTGTCCCCCTGCTCCGAGCGTGTGCCTCCATCTAACGGGACTGTAGAAAATGGAGCAGACAATGGGAAGCGGAATGGGTCGAGGCGAGGCTCCAGGCGTGTCTTTCTCCTGTCCCCTCCCCACTGCTTTTCTTGATGGTGATTTAAGTCCTTACACTCATTTTTATATTCTCAGATCTCAAATCAGCTCATTTCTTCTTTTCTCTCAGATAATTGCATTTTATTAGCCTAATTATTATTAATCCAAACTGTAACTTTATATGTATAAGGTTATATATATGAGCATATTTATAAACAGAGAATTATAAACTGTATACACACACACGTATATATATCCTATAAATGCATAATAAATTATTTTCACATTATTTCTGGCTGGAAGGAGAAGGGATCATTGCCTACTTGTAGATGTCTGGAGTTTAAAAGATGTGTTGAGACTAAAATTAATGTTGTCCTTTATCACAGAGTGACAAAACAGAAATGACCCTAGAGCCTTGCCTCTGCTTGTTAATTTCTCCTTGACTGAGACACCGTAGGCAGCAGCAGCAGCGACCACCACGTCCATGCCCCTTTAACACGGGCGCAGCGCCATGCAACCGGGGAAGGTTGCCAATGCTTAGTTTCCTGCATCAAACCAAACAAAGCGTTTGGGAGAATTTTCTACATTATTCCTAAACATTAGCAATAGACACTTTTAAGAGCGAATGCCCGTCTTCATTCAGCAGCCCTCACACTTGAAGAATACTTAGGTAGGTGAGTAGTCTGGAGCCCTTGTTCATGGGGCTGCTGGTTAGCTGCTTTCCGGTGCATTATTACTGCTCAAAGCGTGCTGCACACTTGTTCTTTCAGAATTATTCAGGGTATTTCATGTCAATTTCCAGGAACCATCCAACTCCTTCCCTATTCAGTTCAAACTCCTTTTTGTTTGCTTGTTTGTTTTTTTATTTAAGTGTAGGGTACATGTGCAGGTGTGTCATGGGGGTTTGTCGTACAGATTATTTGATCACACGGGTATTAAGCCTGGTACCAATGAGTTATTTTTCCTGATCCCCTCCCTCCTCCCTCCCTCCACCCTCCAAAAGGCCCCAGTGTGTGTCGTTCATCTCTGTGTCCATGTGTTCTCATCCTTTAGCTCCCACTTATAAGCAAGACCATACGGCATTTGCTTTTCTGTTCCTGCATTAGTTTGCTAAGGATAATGACTTCCAGCTCCATCTACGTCTCTACAAAGGACATAATCTCATTATTTTTTACGAGCTCAAAATTCTTAGTAGGAGAAACAGCTGATATTCAACCTAAACTAACATTAAGGTAGGGTATCCAAGACAAAATGTTATTTCATGGTAGCTTTACCTTGTTTACTTCACAGGTTTGCACATAAGATTCAATTATTTATATATATTGGTAAAAAAACAAAATATTTTT